TCCCCGGGGCTCGATTTTTCATCTTAATATTTTAAATTATAGATTATAAATTTTTACAGCAGGGATTTTAAATGCTTTACTGTTCAAAATTTTTTTGTATTTTAAATTCGCGAATTACTAAAGCACAAACTCGTAAAAATTGTGTACCACGAATTGTCTATTAAATTACTCTTTATAGTTTCGGTCCAAATACACCAAAAATATTTCACTATATTGTTAAACTATTTATAAACTTATTTCACTATTATGTTTGTTTTGTTAAGTAAGCTACTTGATGAATTAACGTTTTTTCAAACACCATCAAATTCTGAAAATTTGAACTAATTTCGAAAAATAGGACGCCCTCTCCTAGGCGAAATTCGACACGATTTTTCCAGTGGCTTTCCTACTGTGTAATACTACAAAACAAAATCACATCAATTTAAAATCAAATTTGTGAACATACTTGCCTTATATCGTAACTAGCAGGTGATTTTATTGGTAGATTGAGTTTGTTTTTAAGGGTGTAAGTATGATTGATTTGCACGCCAGGTGAAATTAGTACCCTTATTTCGCTTTGTTTTACAGTACCGTAATTCTCGGCTAGGCTTAGCTGTACGCCTAGCCGATACGCAATGTGGCCAAAGAAAGTTTTGTCTTTCTGAGCATGTGCAGATTGTAACACACATAAGTCTAATTCAAGTTAGACAGCTTAAACCAGCCAGCTTCCTATCCTGGTAACAGTTATAAGTCCTTGCTATTAATAGTATTGTTTTTCTGTATTTTTTTCATGGTACTTGTGGCATTTATTGTATTTGACATTAATAAAAAGTTGTTAGGAATAAATGATATAACTGGGGAAATGCAACTTTCGTTTATGTGTAAGCCAACCAAATATAATTAGTAGTTGTGCGACATTTTATTTTTTTATTTTATTTATTTCAACTTTATTTCACGAGGGTAGCTCTAACAGCTGCACTACAATAGTACAGCTGACTTGAAGAGGCCCTCGGAAGAAAAACAATACATAAAAATATATACAATACATTAAGAATCCAAGTAAGTAAAAGCTTCATTACGGTAAAGTTCAAAAACTATATAATAAATAAAATATTGAATAAATGTTGTAACATTCATTAAAAATACAATAAACTTTAAAATTATTATAAAATTACAAGGTGATGGTTAAAATCAGAATTTTATTGCTTTTCTCTGAGATATAATTTTAACTTGGTTTTAAAATTAGAATAAGATATATTGCATTTAAAAGGAAGAGTGTTAAGAAAGGAGGTGGCTCTGTAATAAAATGACATTTTAAAATACTGTAATTTAGGTTTAGGGACAAAAAAGAGGCCTACAGTTGTCGAACGAGTACGCATACCCTCGCGAGTAATGGGTTTCAAAAGACGATTGAGGTAATCAGGTGCAGAACCAGTGGCTGCTTTAAAAGTTAGGCAGCCAAGTTGAAGAGCAATTCTGCTAGAAACATTCAATAAATTAAGAGTTGAAAGGAGAACAGAACGGGTACGAGGGTGGCAGTTAAGAATTATGCGCAAAGCACGGACATCTGCCCTAATAACAATAATCGTACTGTCCAACTTACCTGGCCCCCAGAGATGCTATAAAATCGTTGTAGCAGTGCAACTGTGGTAGATTTTCCACAACCACTTGCACCGACTAGCGCCACCATCTGCCCGCTTTTTATATTCAAATTCAGTCTTTTGAGTACCTCTACATCTGGACGTGTTGGGTAAGAGAATTGCACATCACGAAACTCGATGTTGCCTTTCACCTCTTTCGGTTTTTTTCCATCAGTTGAATAAGAATCAATGGGTGGGACAGTATCGATGATGTTGTAAATCGTAAATGCAGCCCCCCTCGCCGTGGCAATGTTGGAAAGATGCGGTGCCATAGTACCGAGGCCGAACGAACCAACTAGAACGCTGAAGAACACAACTATTACATCACCACCACTGATTTTGCCGTCTACAATCATTCTCGGCCCGTACCAGAAAGCCAGGGCATATGAGCAAAACATGATAAACATTGTTACGCCCATAGATATGCCAGTCAGCTGGCCCTTCCTTATCCCAACATCCTTAGCTGTCTCAAGTTCTTTGGCATACCTGCATGGAATCAGGGATAAAAAGAATATCTGTTTTATGAAGGGAGAGAATTCCATAATATTACGTACGTACGTATTATGTACTAGTAAACAGCACATAACAATATTAACAACAATAATAATGATGATAACCAATTTAATTGTTTTTTTAACCTATTTAATTTCAGTACGTACAGTTGTTATAACTTATCTTAATCTCTTCACTACACAGTGGAAGCATTTTGACCATACTACTTAGAGGCAAATAAAAGACAATGCTTAATAGGCTTCACAAATAGATAACATAAGTATCCTTATACACATCAAATTTTCCTTTAAAGTGCATATACATTGCAAACTCACATCATAGTGAATACAAAACAAACTTCATGCAATCAGATTTAACCACAACGTTCTAAGATTAGTTTAGGAAAGCCTAGCACCAATAAAAAAATATAATGGTTGAGTCTACAGAGTCAGATAAATTACGCTGCAGATTATGAAACATATCAGACGTTTCTTTTCTGCACTGCCTAGATCAAGTTCACCGGGAATCTCAAACTGCTGCCTATTTTTTTTCCATTAGAGATATCTGTCTAGTCTTTAAAGTGGGCATTTCGACGAGATACATTATCTAATCCAATTGATTTTTTGCTTAAATGACGGCTTAATTATTCCAGTTTTAAGTAATGAAACAGCCATGAAAATCAGCTGATGCGTTCAGAAATGAGAGTGATTATTGTAAACAGGATCACAACACTTTGAGTAAACTGGCCTGTTAACCCTCTAGATACCGTCTACGACTGTAGTCGAAATTGAAATCAAACCGAGAATTCCCATTTTCGACTGCAGTCGAAATTTAGTGAATAAAAAATAGGGTTTTCAAATCGCTCCTCTGTTTTTATTTTAGCTCTAATACGTCAGAAATTTTGAACACGCATTCGTGAAGCTTTTTTCTTTTGAAATCTGTGAAGAACTCACATGCGCTTATATAAAAAATTTTAGAAATATCAATTAGAAATCGTTATTAATTTCAAAAATTTTTGGAAATGGCCACACAAGATATGTACACAGCTGAGGAAGCGATTGACCTGATTTTTTATTCAGACAGCGATGAAGGCGAGTTTTTAGATGTGCAAGACTTAGACGTGCCTGTTAGCGATGATGATGGTGGGACTTCAAGCAATTCTGACGGCGGAGATGTTCTTGATGAAGATGAGCCTAGGCCTAGAAATGTGAGGGTAATCGACGCTTCTGAATGGAAAGATCGTGCTTTATAGTTATGGATGGTTGGGTAAATAAATTATATAACTTTGTGGAATAGGAATTTTTTATATTTGTTTTTATTTTTTTGGCTATAATTTCTTTTTTTTTTCGGTTTTTGCTGACGATTTATATGTAGCATTTTTCTGTCATTTCAGCTTATTCTATAAGCTTTCTTTGTTTTTTTAGAAACATTTTTCTGTATAATTTACAGAAAGTTCCCAAAAATCCATCAGAACGTCGTATACTCAAAAAACCTTGTTACACTGCAAAAGAATCCGGTATTCAAGGGTTTACACTACAAAAGAATCCGGTATCCAGAGGGGTAACACACAGGACGCCAAATAATGTTGCTTAAAAAAATGCCTCTAAGGTTCAAAAATTAAAAATAAATGACATTATAGCTGAATAAAAAAAGAACACTTTACAAAAACAGTCAAAAAACCGGTCCAATATTAACAAAGATCACTTTTAAAAAATGCACAAAAACGACCGATTTTAGCAATTGCGCATTGTTTGGTAGACATTGACTGGGTTTTTGCCCGGCTCAAGGACAAAAGAAATACACAGGTTTTCCCAAGGTTGAGATAGAAATCACAACTGCTGTGCCAAGTGGTAACAGAATGTTTAAGTTCAAGAAGATCTGGTCTATTTACCTTATTTTCTCTTTATTCTCTCCGCCAAAGGCTACCACTGTTCTTATGGCTGACAAAACCTCTTCTGCTACACTTCCCGCTTTCGCATATGAATCTTGTTCCTTCTTAGCAAATTGAGTAACAATCTTAACAAGAAGATTAAAAGATAATAACCATACATAAATATGGTCCAATTTTACTGATGTTAAAACAATTTTCTTCAGACCTATTGTCCTTATGTATGGTTATATGTGGAAATATTCCTGGAGGATGAAGACTTTTCCTGGGTAAAAGTTTCCCTGAGGTGAATTCCCCAACTCAGGACAGTTGTCCCAGGTATGAAAAAATGTGGAGAAATTTATGCTAAGGTAGAAACATTTTTTTTAGCCCCTGACAGAGATTCCCACCAATGGTGAAAGAAAAACTGACCCTTGATGAGTTGCCAAATTTCATGTAGGAAATAAATTGTACCCCTAAAATATGAGATAATTTATGAACAAAATTGTAAGATTAAATAATACTTATCTATTGGTTTCCATTACATGTTATACTGTATCTCTTTTATTACTTCATTTGAAAATAAAGTATATTTGATTTGATACAAGGTGATATCATCGTACCTTTGTTATGATTGTTCCACAAATAGCTAACAAAGGTGTCAGTGACATCATCACCAGTGACAATTCCCAGCTCTTGTAAAAACCGACAGCAAAACCTGTACGAATTAAAATAACTGTAAAACTCTTCACATGATTAATCTCTGTGATCTGCCTACTTAATTTCTGTGATTTGTCTATATATGGTCATAATGTAGTAATATCACACATATTTATAATTTTATGTTAGGCAGTGGTTATTGTTGCTTTACAGAAAGAAAAAAACACACACCTGATATAAACTGCCCAAAATACTGCAGTGCAAGTCCACACTTATCACCAATTCCTTCCCTGATACGTTCTACATCACTAATGGAAAAAATAAAACAAAAAAGACATCATCACCAGTGACAATTCCCAGCTCTTGTAAAAACCGACAGCAAAACCTGTACGAATTAAAATAACTGTAAAACTCTTCACATGATTAATCTCTGTGATCTGCCTACTTAATTTCTGTGATTTGTCTATATATGGTCATAATGTAGTAATATCACACATATTTATAATTTTATGTTAGGCAGTGGTTATTGTTGCTTTACAGAAAGAAAAAAACACACACCTGATATAAACTGCCCAAAATACTGCAGTGCAAGTCCACACTTATCACCAATTCCTTCCCTGATACGTTCTACATCACTAATGGAAAAAAAAAAAAAAAAAAAATTGATCTTTTACATTAATTAATAAAACACATATAATGTGCCATTTATCTAGGAAATCTTTTAGAGGAGAAACTCTAGATAGAAAATAATGTTGTTTTGTTATTATTTTTCAACTATCTGGGAGTGACCTGTTTCAGCTTAGCATGCACCAAAAAATCATTAAATGAGACCATGTCACCCAGATGACAAAGCTAAAAAATAACTGTTGCAGCCATCATCACTGCCATCACTACCACCAACATTACCACCACCACCACTATCGCCACCACCAGGTACTGAATACTTACTCCGACAGCCTTGCATTAAGTTCTCCACTTGCATGGGTATCAAACCAGCCAATGTTTTGTCGTAGGACAGACTTGAAGTATTCCTTTCTAATTTTGTTGATCTGCCGTTGGCAAGCTAACCCCCACAATGCAATCTGAATTTGACATAATTCAAATATAAATTGAGAAGTGACGCATACATTAAATGAGCAATTTCATCAGCTTTACAATGTTTGAGCATGCACATTTTCACTCAAAAATTGTATCTTCATTTGAAGTGAAAAACAGATAAAGCTGAGAATCAAGAATGCATGTGTTTTCCTCTTAATATCAAAGAAATGACAAACTTACAGTATATTGAAAAAGAAATGATACCAGATGACAAAATTTAAAAGAATTAGACTACAAACGTAGGCTTTAATAAAATGATGTAACAAAAAGAGCATTTGTGAAAAACAAAATAACTGAACATTTTGAAGCACATTTACCTGCATGAATCCAGAAAACATAATGACCAATGCTATGATGCCAAAATACAGAGCAAATTTCGCCATCTCATCCTCAAATTCTGAGGGCGTGATTGTGCTGTTTACAGACTCGTAAGCAACTAATTCGTCTGTGAGTTCTCCAAAGACAAGCATGAGGGCGGGCCAGCCAGCGCCGACAGCAAGAGAGAATATCGAACCGATGATCATTAACATAACATCTTGACATTTGGCATATCGAAACTGAAAAAAAGAAAAACTGATTCAATATCTGTTTTACCCAAGTTGGTTTATTATTGCAAATAATAAGTATTTCCCCAAATACTTTGCGATTCAATTGGTTATGAGATAGGAACTTGAAATACAATTTAATATCAATATGAAGAAATGATGAAGAATGGTATTATTAAATATGCAATGATTACATGTCAAAGGTCAATGATCTGCATTTTACAGTATGATGGTCATTCCTTAGCTAGAGACAGTTTGAAGTACACCGTTATAGTCTATGCTAGAAATGTAAACAGAAACAAACAAAAAAAGTGCAACAAAATATTCAGCAAATTTTGATAACCCCACACAAACTGTTATTTCCACCAACAGTGAAGAATCACCACTTACAGGTAAGAAAAAAATGTAAAAACACAGTATGAATTGTGCTGTATGCCAAACCAATTTAATATATTTAAGAAATTAAGTTATGAAGTCAACTACCGATATTCATTAATATAATATTTCATGATAGCGAACGTTCTGAGTGATTTCATACAGGCTTTAAAAATGTTTTTGAGGCAAATTTTTTCAAAGCCTGTTTTTGTTTGTTTTTAGAATTTATAGGATAAACAAGCTCTATATTTTTAAGAGGCAATTTTCAAAAAAGTATGGTTTCATACATTTGAATTTCAAATTAATCATATTTACTTTGTATTAGTTAGCACTCAACTATTTATGACAAAATAAAAATTTCACAGCCATATATCTGACTACTATAAAGAGATTCATTTGTGATAACACTTCTTATGCAGACACTTTATGGAAGCTTGGCAACCTCCTGACAGGCCAAATAAACACACTTAACTAATCTAGCATACAATATAATTTGTCAACAGTGACCCCTTTCAACTTTGTATCACGTGCGGGCTACGGCTGAGGTGATTACTCTACGTGAGCTCAAAAGCTAGTTTTAATCACCTGTAAACCTTCCCATTATTAGAAAGTTTGTTGAACTGGAGACCACAGGTTTTTCTCTGTCCTCCATGCATGTGTCCTCCATGCATGGAAAAACAAACTGAATGAACATAGCATTCCATGACAATTCAGTAGCAACAATAATTCATACTTTAGCCTGATTTTTTATGATGTATGAAGGCCGATCTCACTAAAAATTGTTATAAATAAAGTTTGTTATAGACTTTTAAAAATCCTTGACTGTAGTGGTATAAAAAATGTTGGGAATTCTATTAGTGTATAAGCTTTTTGGTATTTGATACTTAAATTATTATCATTATTATTGTATACTGTATTAAATGTGAGTCAAACATTGAGTAAACACAAAGTTATGTCTGAAATAGTTAAAATGTGCTCCAGCTATCTCCCCCACCCTCCCCAGGCCCTGTTGGACAGGTCAAGCCTTCTGTCAGTCACAGCTCATCAGACCTTTTCATTTTTTTTGTTTTTTGCCATAGTACTGTGTGGTTTAGCCCCCTGGGCCTAACCTGGACCCTGCTGGCCTTCACCGGAAATTATCAAACCCCTGTCAGAAAGCTTAACCCTACCTAGGCCTATGTTTAACTATAAGTGAATATTACTTTAAATATACAAATTAAGCAATTCAAATATTGAATTTAATTTTCCATTTTTTTAGCTCATGACAAATATTATATCTTTAATGATACCGATTGTTTCCTGTTCTGGTCTTATACTGCTTTTTAATTGATTCTGTCGTTTCTTCAACTACAATGCTACATTATAAAGTTATATTATATAGTTATAACTGAATATTTTCACAATTTGTACATATTTGTTAAGGTTGAACTTTTGAACAAATATATATAGACCCTACTATGAAACTGAATGACTAAAAGTGATACAATTTTGATCTAGAATATTTTTTATTCTTCAATTTTTTTCTGTCTACATCCTGCAGTTGTATGTTTTGGTTTAGTAAGTACCCATGAGAAATAATGCTTAAAAGACAGAGAATAATAATTAAAAAAAATAGATCATGGTTGCATTAATTAATTTGAAAGAAAAAGATAAAGCACATACCAAGTTAAGAAGAGATATCATCTCAACTTCTTTTTCTTTCTCCTTCTCCTCCCCACTAAACAAAGGAAAATGGTTGAAAATGGAAATTAGGGGTCAGAAAACACAGCAAATAAATAAAGATCTAAAAAAATAAATATCCTATATTTAATAAACAGACAAAAACAAAATTGTATTTTCATTGAAAATCATTAATGACCAGCAATAAAATAAAATACAAATCAAAATGCAACTTACTCCTTAATTTCTACATCTGCGTCATCAAATTGATGGTCATCTTTTGTGTGTCCATTGGTATATTTCTTATCTTCATTGTGTTTCCCATTTTGATGAACTGCTCCATTCTGCTTGTTCAACTCTGACTGCATTTTCTCATCATCTTCATTAACATCCATTTTACACTAGTCTAAAAACAAAATTATGAAAAGAATTATTTCTTTAAAATTTGTACCAGGCTACACCGAACTGAAAGATCATAATAGAATCCTGGATATGAATCATGCTTACATGGAAAATCATTTTACATTCAATTACAATTTGAAGAGGAAAATAAATGAGTATCAAAATAATAATGTTTTTGAAGGCCAATAAAACCCAGTGTCAGACTTACTTCCTTCCATGAGGGTCCTATAAATTCAATCTTCAATTCAAATTCAACCTTTAAATCAAGTTACTAAAGGCAATATAATTTTCATAGCTTAAATTGCTTAGCTAGAGAGCCATTAAGTCCCGTAAACTTTAACTTAAACATGAACTTGTTTTGCAGTGTCCTCAAGTTTCACTCATGAGGCTTTAAGAGAATGTTGGTGAGTCATTTGGGTATAAAACTTCCAGCAATTAAATAATAGCATAATTTGGAATTGGTTATGAGAAAATCATTAATAGGTATGCCAAGATTAACATCTCTATCACAACTCTTTTGTATAGTGACTGATACATACCTGTAGCACAAAATTCTCTGAAAACATTAGATAGCAACCCACTTTCAGATTCCCTATTCTTTGGCTGCTCAAAGCGTAAATACGCTGATTGTATTTCTACAGTCAACCTCGAACACAAAGTGGCTGTTGTAAAATAGTTTCGACTTTTATTTACTCAGCAAAGTACACAAGGCTTTTGTTATCGTCGATAATTAATGCTCTGTTTTATAGTATGGAAAATATTTACTACACTTGTAACTTTGAAATGTTTAATGTAAAACAATAAAACAATTACGAAATTTCAACTTATAGATGTACAGTAGACTTGAGTGAGGTTGACTGAGTAAATGATACTGTAATTAAAAAAAATGAATTTTGTATGTCCTCACCTCCTTGCAAAGAGGCTGAAAACCAACTCGAAAAGGAAAGAAGCAACTCGTAATTTTTGACACCATGGAACTTTTGTTTATTAACTGGTACGTTTTATTAATGTGAGCTATGTTCCTGCCTAATTTTAATTATCCTTGGAGAGACTGCAACCATGAGAGTAGATTCTAGGTTTTGGGGTTAACAATCAATTTCTAGCCTTCGTTTTCATAGCTATGTCTGGGTGTTGTGAGTTAAATCCTTTGTGATTTCTATATATAAATGATTTTCATTTTCACTGTGGCAATTCTTGTTTCCCTTATTCTTTTCACAATTTTTCTTATTCCTTTATCGTCTTCGTGTTTGTGCTGTCTTTTTTATATCCAGATTTCTATTTTTGTATTTATATTGTAATGAGCGAGCCCTTGTAGAGGTGTTTGTCACCTGTTGACTCCTCTCCTTCACTTTTGTTAGTTAATCAAAAAAATAAATAAATGAAGTAGGACGGCTGTGTAGAAGAATTTGATACTATACTATGAAATGCACTTTACCAAAATCTTTCTTTTTTTTTTATAGGTCAAAAACAGTTTCGCGACCATCTGAAATATTTTGGCTACACAAATTTGGGCCGTGACTGATAGTTTAAGAAGCAGGGTGCTAAATCACCCATCTTATGACCCAATTATAATGTGTATTTTCAAATCCTAAATACTAATAAATATATTTTTATGAAATGGTTAAAAGTACAGTAGTATGATAGGCCCATACAAAGATGGAAAAAAGTTGAAACATTGGTTAAGGTTTATGTAGGGGGAAATTTTTCCCATCTGGACCCAGCTGGATCTTAGATTTATACCCCAATAGGTGGGTTTCAAAAATTTTTTCCATCACCATCCATGTTCATAGGGTAGTGTTTAAGGCTGACGAAGGAATTTAATACATTTAATTTGGGCTTCAAAATTGTCTTGTAAATGTATATCTTGTGAACACAGCTATAACTCGAAATAGTTTCCACAAATAAGTAAAGACATCAACATAAATTCTAGGCTAATGAAGTCACAACAAAATCATAGTGTTGAGCTGTGGGTTTATATAGCAGTGGGCAGTGGACCAACCAGAATTTGGATAATGCAGATTTAGAAATTTTATCCCAGGGTTGACAAGTCTCCTCTTGGTCATGAGTGCAAATCTATTTTTGTAGACTTACAGTAAAGCCAATTATTTACTGTTGGTTGACTATGAGAAATGGGACAATGACACTTGTTCAACAATTTCTATTGATATAACCGAAGTGACTCATTTTCACATGATTTTAATCAAAAGAAAATTGTCAAGCCATATCAACTGATATTTTATGGTCTTTGTAAAAAATCTATCAATTCATCATCTCGGCATACCTATTGAAATATTATCTGTACACTTCCTATGATGCATTATAACCCTTTGTCCTACTTTTTTGTACTTAAAGTTTTTGTAAGTGAAAAAAAAATGATGTAAAGTTTTTGTAAGTTTACATCATTTTTTTTAGTTATTACTATATTTGTCCTTTAATTTTTCATCCAAATTTCCTTCACTACTTTTTACTTGACATATTGCATAATTAATTATTTCATTATCAGTGTCTACTTAATGGTTCACCTTCATTAATATTTTCCACACCAAAAAAAATGTTTTGAATTATTTTAATCAGACTATTTTTGTATTAGTAATAGGCCTATTATTTATATTGCAATATTCCCATGGTATGAACCCACCCTTTTGAACACAAAATTAGACCATTTTATTTATTGAAATTTTTTGTTGGGATGGAAGGTGGGACAGGCTTATTTCCAGGTAATGCCCTTTAAGATAGACTGCTGTTCCTTTTTAAATTGCCAGAATTCCCTATCATTTTCAGAGATTGTAGTGAAGGTAATTATTGAGCCGAATTCAAAGCCAATCACTTTTTTGTCTTATTTTTAAAATAAGAAATTTGTCTTTTTTGCAACAGCTGGGTTATTTAAGCTGACATCCAGTTGTTCTGCACAAAAGAAAAAAAAATACTATATGTATTACTGTGGAAACCAACCATGGTCACTACCAGGGGCAGACGCAGGGGTGTTGCCTGGGCAACACCCTTTATTTCATATCGTTGACAAAAATATATATAATATTAAGGAAACACACAACTTGTAAAAATGCATTCAATTTTATTATAACAATAGTATTCGTGATTTTACCTTGTATCATTTTGACATAAGTTGACTAAATAAGGCCTAAATTAAAATTCAAAGTGTATTACAGAATTATGTTTGGCCATTATGTTAATTATAGCTTTCGGTAGATTTCCTGTCAATTTACAATCAAGCAATATTGGGGAGGGACAGCCTGATTTTATGCTCCAAAACCAGACATCCATTCGTAGTGGACTAATTATTTCCTGGTGTTAATTTGCCTTTTTATTTTCCATATATTTCCTTTAGTTTATTCATGTCCAGGGAGTGGCTACCCTGCTTTCACAAATTGTGTTTTACATGTACAGCATTAAGATTGAACGGCGAGTTCTCAATTCTTACCGTCTTTTTTGTGCTGTTTTGATTTTTTTGGTTACTAATAATTTTGTTTCTTATAGTTTTAGTGTGGATGCACCATTGATGTGATGTGTTGGTCTGAGGCATTGCCCTTTAACCTGGAGGCATTTTAGAAAATTTTTTTTTTTTTTGCACATCACAATTTAATGCATAAATATAATATTTTTGTTTGCTCAAAACCACTAAATGTACTACTGTTTCCCTATAATAGTGTAACGATAACATTTGGTCCTGGAAGCATTTGAATAAGATAATCTTCATTGTCGGAGGCACAAAAAATTTGTTTCCAGGCGCCGCTGTTATAAAAGTATTTTCCAAATAAATATTATTATTATAGAAAAGCTTATGACCATGGAGGTATAATAAATGTTGTATACATCCATGGTCAGACTACTGCACATAGCACACAGGACCAATGGCTTCAAGACTCACCTGAAGAATGTGGTAATGTAATGAGAGCAAGTGGCTTACTTAAGTAAGTACAGTTATTAGCAGACAGGATGGAATGAGGCTTTATAACTACATCTCATAATATATGGCTTAGGGAGTAGAGTCTTCTGATGTTAACCAAGATATCCACTCCAGTGGCTATTGTCCAAACAAATCTAATGATACCATCATCATACAATATTTGTCTTCCTATTTCATTATTTCATTAATGGTAAGACTCCTAATGATTAGCAGTAACATGTTTATCTTGTGGCACTGTTGTACAGTTCTATAAGATGAGAAAAATAATGGAATCATTAAAAACTTATCTATTTATTTGTGGATCTCTGTAGACCTTTTTGATTTGGCAGGGTTCTAAATATTTCTTGCGGACACCTAAAGGGGCCTGTGCACTCCAGAAAATTTGTCTCAGAACAGCTTAAAACTGGACCATAAGGTCTAATAAAAAATTATTAGTTTATGACCCTTGCATGCATGTCTTCTATGGTATTTAAAAAAATATGTTTTTGAACTATGGTATTTTAAAAAAATATGTTTTTTAATTTTTTTTTTTTTTAATTTTTTTTTTTTTAAATTTTTTTTAGGTTAATACTTAGTAGTAGATATTATTTGTATTATCTCAAATAAGTTTTAATTTGAATATTAATGCACCAGCAAAGCAGCTAAATGGTGATATTTGGCTTTAGCAAAATATAAAATAAAAAGCCTCCCTCCCTCATCACTTTTCCAGCCTAGATAGGGTGACAAACTAATACATTTTTTTGCAGAGCCTAATCTTCTTGGGACTCACACAGGCTACTAAAAATTGGCGTTTTTTCCCCTCTCAATACTCTAGCACCACTACAGTCCTGCTAGAGCATTGAAGTGCCAAGTGACTTTCACTGGATAGAAGGCTCAAACTTTTATTAATAAATAAAAATATTTTAAGTCTAAAAACAATTAACTTTAAGTAACTTTAAATTATAAATTCAATAGTAAAAACTGATCATAAAGTTCAGTTTGTTTAAAGATTTGGTGGAATTCTATTCTATACAAGAAAGTTAAATAACAAATTTAATAGAGCTATGGATGGATACAAACACATGATAAATATTGAAAATTTAAAATCAGTTAACCAAACAAAACTCACCGATTTCTTCCAAATTATTATCACAGGCAAGTGTCCTTACAGTGCTTCGCTAACAACAATCAATGTGTTTAAGGTGAACTATTGCAGAATTCTCTTATAAATAAGTTTTATCTCAACACTACACTACTTAAAAAGATTATTAAACCAGGATGTAAAGTCTTTGCCCTGTATGGTGCAATAACGTTAATTCTGAAATAAGCCAATAATTTTATAAACTTCTCATGTGATCAGATAAGTAAGTAATATTTATTGCTTTCCATGAAGTAATTAAAAAGAAAGGACAAAACATGATTAAGAAGGTAAGATTTTTTTTTTATTTCTTTAGAGGAGGGTGAAAAAAAAATGATCTACTGTATTTGTCATTACTAAATGAATCTGCCAAAGGCTGGGATGGTTGATAAAAAACAATGTGTTCATTCAAAAAAAAAAAACACATGAGTGTTTGACGTAATTAAAGGCACTTTTGCCCTTCGCTTAAGACCCTATTGCTTAGTCATATAAAGATTGTCGGGATGATGTAAAAAGTTCAGCATCAGATAAAAAATATATAATTTTTACTTAATTGTGAAAAATACATTAATACATTTTTTTTATCAAAAGAATTTATATTGGTGTCATGTAGGATGAAAAATTATATATTATTTTAATCATTTACTGAATTACTTAGTTTATGTTTAGTCTTTTATCAAAAAATTAGAATGCGAAAATAAATTGCCTGTAAAATGTAATTATGCAATAAAACATTTAAAAAAAATGAACAATTGTTTAAAGCCCTGTCCAGACTATCAAATTTCATTTGACAAAAACATGTGACATGCCTAAATATGGTTATGATGATGTCACATCATGACCATATATAGGCACATCATGACCATATATGGGTATACAACAGTTTTTTGTCAAGGAAAATTTGATAGTGTGGACAAAGCTTTAATATCAAATTTTATGTGACAATATACATATTTGGGCATATGACATCATCATGCCCATATATAGGCGCATCACACAAATAACTGTAAGCTGTTACAAAAGATTTTATAATCGCATCATCCTTCTGACTCACATACAGCTAGATGTAATATTCATTAAATTTGAAAAATTATAATTTATTTTGGTTGCACAATTAACGCAGTACAGTACTGTGAAGTCTTAAGTGGTTTTGAGATGATTTAGTTTCAACATGCCATTTAAAGAATGTTGAGAATTTGTAAACATTATTAATCATTGAGGTTTTAATGAATAACTCCAATTGGCTGCAAGGCAACATGTGATCGGTTACATGCCAACTGTCCACATAACTATGACCTGAGTATTGACCAAGGCACAGAGGTCAACTTTGTCCTAAATGCACTTTTGAAATGGGATAGGCTTTACATTTGTTGAAGCCCTGTGGTCTTTTTAACAAATAAAAAAATTCACCATCACATGACTTGCCTTTTTAATTTGTATTGATTGATAATAGCACATTTCCCTAGCAATCAAAGCACTTCACAAAGGATCAAACCACACATCAATCTGGTTTGTTAACACCTCAATATACAAACAAGTCCACCCCAAAACCAGACCAAATTTTGTGTTAAATTATTAAAAATGGGCATGCTGTTTTAATGAGGAACAATTAAATTAATGTTATTATATTGTTTGTAATATTTACATGATACTGCACATTGATAGGATATTCATCACATTAATGAATGGGCCTACATTTGATAGAAAAAAACAAGTGAAACTGAAACATCAATTACAGCACATCATTTACTGCAGTGTAATCACTTTGGTAACAAAATGTAAAATATGCAAATTTTATAGGTTGGTATATGTATAAGTATGAAGCTTCAGATTTTACTCATGTTAATGCTGAACTGTTTCTCACACTATAAATAAAACAGCATTCTACAGTACATTATTCCCAACTGTAAATTGCCATAGTCAAATACTCTCCACAATTCAGAGATAAAAACCATAATTTTATTCAAAGTTATGGATCTCAAAAATGTTGATCTTGTATTAACTGGCATAATGTTTCTTTTTTTTTCAAGAATATAAATTTCTACATAACAATTTAACAGTTCAAAGCACTTGAATCTGTGTAAATATTTGAATACAGTACCAACTGTTAAATGATATTTTTTCTCATTTCATTTCATTTTATTAAATATCAAAATCGCAGTTGAGGACTGAATTAAATGATACTTACAATAATACATAATGGTAATATAAAAACATCAAAGGAAAGTAAAAAATATCAAAGGATTAATTATTATTTAACAATACACATACTGCACAGACATTCAGAAAACGATTAAAAACATTAAAAATCAACACAGTATCAAGAATAAAATAGTAGCATATAATATAAATCAAGAGGATTAACACCGTTAAATTATATATAAATCATCAAAGAAGCGTAAACACAGTGTTCGAATATTGAAGACATAATGATTTATATTATACATGAACTACTATTTGTTTCCATCCGTACATATTGTGTAATAGAGTGTATGCGACGGTTATTTTAATCTGTTATGATGCTCGTCTTGACAGCGAGAGGTCACAGGTGCAAATCCCGTCTGAGGCATTTTATTACACAATTTTTTATTTATTTATAAGACAACATTCATTGTGAGCTATGCTACACGATGTATTATCATTCTCTATTTGAAATCTTTGTAAATATAAACACTGTAGTTCAGCTTTTTCGTTTTTATTACATGATTGTCAATATACCATCAGAGGCGGCACCAGGGATTCCCTGATGAGTGGTCCAAGCTCCTCGATAAGGTGTCCACACCACCCTCCACCCCCACCCATCAGGGAAAAAATTGTGTTGATATGGTATTCTTTATTTAAAAAGGATAATTTGAGAGAAAACCATTCAAGTTAAGAGGGCCCCTGCTGTCGGGGGTACTAACCACCTGGGGAAGATCTAGCGCTGCCACTGCAACCCATAAGATGTGTATAAGAGACAGTCTTATTATGAGAGCAACCTATAGGGCGATAGGCCTAAAGAGGAAATATTGGTACCAGACATATTTTGAAAAAAGAGCACATTGGGGTTTAAAAAAAACTCAAAACTATAAATTTAATGCGACACCTGTGTAAAAGGCCAGAGTTGGTTAGAATATAAAACACTTTCACCTTCTATAATTAAATTGTTTTTTGAAATTTATGACACAAGTGGCAGCTAAACCGCGACATGTTGGCCTTTCCAGCCGTACCCCGTTTACAAGCCAAGAAGTAAGTGTTACTAATGAATAGGCTATAATTGCTTATGGTAAACTTTTATCATTTATTTAAATCTTTAAAAAATAAAATTGTTAAACTTTTTAATGTTTTTATACTTTAAAATTTTACACGTTAAAGCATGTATCTTATCGTCTATTTTTGCTAATAAAATCCTTGTCGTTTTCTGATTTTTTACTCCTTTATTATTCAACTTTCTTTTATAAGGGTGGCTCTCACAGCGAGCCTAACTCAAAGAGGCCCTCATAACAAATACAAAACATATGCAGTAACAGGAATAAAATACAGATAGCACAATGATAAAATATATTCCCTGTCTCTTATACACATCTAGATGTGTATAAGAGACAGTATATATACAGGTAAGGTCTTGCGTTAACATAATACGCGGCATATCGTATCAAATTAACCAACAACCGTATGAATCAGAATTAGAATAACTATATTATATCCAAAAGAAGAAATTGCTTTATGCTTGTTTACATGTTCTTTATTTTGGCCTGAATTACTGGTAAACCTAACATACAGTAAAAGCATCTAATCGAACAAAAAGTGGCCAATCAGAACAGGGCCAGGAATACGCACATGTCCCACTCAGGCACGTGTTTTACGTGCCCGTATACAATGTCGATTTGTCGGACAATATCCGGTGGCGGAGCGTAGCGGGACGGTTCATATTCAGCGAAGTTAATCTTTCAAGTATTTAAGTGCCAATCGCTCGCCTGTTTGATGTTTAATTTCTTCTTAAAATAAGCATGAAGTAAACGTGATGCGCAATCAATACCGTATTAATCATGTGATATTTATTATGCAGAGAGACACGTGACGTGCCAATCAATAAACAAAGGTGTAAAATCAATATAGTCCACCAATAAAACGCTTCCGTGCTAAATAAATAATTTTTGTTTTGACGAGAACACATCACTGGCGGTTTAAATCACACATCATGATGAAGGCAGATAATAATGTATTTGTAAAATCGCTATAGGCCTACGATCGCCGACAGCTGCGACGCTTATTAGTACTCGGTCAGAGGGAGCGTTTCTGATTACGTAAAGGAATTCAGCGAACCTGTCGAAAGTGATGTTCACTGTTACACCAAAGTGGTGCTCATAAACCGATAAATGTAGGCTCTAATATTAACATGTCTTAATAATGACATGTGGCGGTATTATATATATTATCCTACCAACCAGTATACCGGTACCGAAACTTGTAGGCCTACCGCGCCTTTTGCCAAGGGATACAAGGCCGCAGTACACGACATTTTATTCACAAAAATATAGTGACTATAAATATCTCTAATATAATAAAAATAAGAGAATTTTGGTATGCTTAACAAATAAAAAATTAATACAATATACTTAGGAGACTTAAACTCCCATCGGATCCGAGCGGAAGTTCGGACGGCCGCCGTTTCCGATGCTTGAACGCCAGCGTCAGCGTCCCTGTGACTGATTCGATTAAGATCAGTTGTATCCCACGATTCGGATTCGCTGTAAATGGACTTTAGTTTTTATACAGAGCAAAATCATAATAGGCATGTAGGCCTACATTAAAGGCCGAAATAATATATTATTACAAATCTGATAAATAAATAAGTCAATAAAATATGCTCCATGAGTTACTGAATTTTCCATAATTTTATTGGAATTGGTTTTAAATTGACTTGTTGACGATGAAGTTAAACAAGGATTTATAATTTTAAAGCAAGGCCTCGTGAGATATCTAGCTGAAAAATTACATTTAAAAAAAAATGCTTTGCTTATCACGTAAATTAGGACACGTTGTCCATCTAAGATATAGGCCTAGAAGTGTTAATAAGTTTAATGATCGTAATTAATAGATTTATTCATCATAAAATCCAACGACAATACTTTACGTTACAAAACTGGATAAAGCTCGATCATACTTGCTCATCTTGAAAAGACGGGATTAAGATAGCTCAATCCCGTCTTTCCTCGTGACACTGGATTACAAAGAATCAATAACGATTGTAATACATTGTAAGGATATAAGAAAGGACATGTCTATTATAATTTTTTTTATCATAAAACCACAGAATTTATTAAATGGCTTTATACTATATGACTCTCTGTAGGCCTACCGGTACCATTTTTATGGATGTAAAGGTGCGTTCTCAGAATCCAAACCAACCACGAATCTGCGACAGTGGTAGCTTCAGAGGTTGGTTGACAGAGCGGCCCAACATTCCAACAGGGGTGGTGCCGGAATTGGTCGGGGCTCGAAAAGATTGTGCAGGATAGCTAAAAATTGTGCTTTTAGAACACAGTATTGAGGGGGACTGGCAATCACAATAACTTAAATAGTCCACCGAACACACGTGACGTCAACGGGGGGAGGGGGGAGCGAACCCTGCCTCCGCAGGGTTTTTGTAGTCCATTCTGACTTAGCTTGAACAGAATCGTCTTATTATGAGAGCAACCTATAGGGCGATAGGCCTAAAGAGGAAATATTGGTACCAGACATATTTTGAAAAAAGAGCACATTGGGGTTTAAAAAAAACTCAAAACTATAAATTTAATGCGACACCTGTGTAAAAGGCCAGAGTTGGTTAGAATATAAAACACTTTCACCTTCTATAATTAAATTGTTTTTTGAAATTTATGACACAAGTGGCAGCTAAACCGCGACATGTTGGCCTTTCCAGCCGTACCCCGTTTACAAGCCAAGAAGTAAGTGTTACTAATGAATAGGCTATAATTGCTTATGGTAAACTTTTATCATTTATTTAAATCTTTAAAAAATAAAATTGTTAAACTTTTTAATGTTTTTATACTTTAAAATTTTACACGTTAAAGCATGTATCTTATCGTCTATTTTTGCTAATAAAATCCTTGTCGTTTTCTGATTTTTTACTCCTTTATTATTCAACTTTCTTTTATAAGGGTGGCTCTCACAGCGAGCCTAACTCAAAGAGGCCCTCATAACAAATACAAAACATATGCAGTAACAGGAATAAAATACAGATAGCACAATGATAAAATATATTCCTGTGTTTTGTATTCTCTGTTTTAATGCAAGGACTAATAAGGCCTTTTTTCCCTAACTTTTCGTGGGTCATCCTCAGATCATGTCTTTGTTTTCTCTGTCATCGTTTACTTTGTATTTTTGTATTTACGGATACTGATATCATTTAATCAAATTTTGAAGTTTTCAATAATTAACGAGTGTATCAATAACCCGAATGTCTACCGTGCCACAGCCAATCATTATAGAATGATCAGGGTGATTTCAGACGCGTTCACGCGATGGGATCCCTAGAGGGCGCTATTTTAACTAAGTACTACAGTACTACTAAGTATAATGTAGTCTTGACTTAAGCGTGCATTATTTGAAATAACTATTTGTATACATTTCAATATGCAATTTAAAACAAATTACAACTATAACAAACGACATTGGGTTCTTATTCTATATTTATTTTATTTTCTATCTTCTCATCTACGCAACTTCGCAAGAATCTCACTCAAGTTAAACGAATTTGTTTTTTCTTAAATAATTTATTTCTTTCTGGGCTTGTTACTTTGATGATATTTAACTATTGTTTGTGTAAATGTTATATTGTTTATTTCTTTGTAAATATAAACACTGTAGTTCAGCTTTTTCGTTTTTATTACATGATTGTCAATATACTATCAGAGGCGGCACCAGGGATTCCCTGATGAGTGGTCCAAGCTCCTTGATAAGGTGTCCACACCACCCTCTATTCTTTATTTAAAAAGGATAATTTGAGAGAAAACCATTCAAGTTAAGAGGGCCCCTGCTGTCGGGGGTACTAACCACCTGGGGAAGATCTAGCGCTGCCACTGCAACCCATATGATCGTAAGAGTATACAACACCTCAAACTGCTGCACTAAACATCCCTAAAATTTGACAGCTTAGTGCATACCTAAATTGCAGGCGGTCGAGATTTCATTTTTCCCTGATGTACTTGCAGGAAATTGCCCTACAGGGGGTCTAAGATAGGGGAGGCCAGAGATCCCCGAAGAGGATCCTTTGCCCCCACCCCACCTGCTAGCGCCGCCCCTGTATACCATACAAATGAATTAATTAGTTATTGCAAATTGGATCATGATGTTAACAAAATTTTCAAAAAATCTTTATGTTCAAAATCATCTGAACATAAAATAATAATCAAACAACATCAGGATTATTATTATCATTTTCCTAATGAAAGTTACAGTCCTTTAACCTGTTGAATCAAAGGTCATAGTTGATGTTGTCATCATTTCCCGAATTATATTTATCGATAACGTGATGTCTTCAAAATTCAATCTCTGTAGAGGGCAGCAAACACAGACTATAACCTTGATTGTGGTGCCAGTGGACCTTCCCATTTCTCACCTAATTGAAAAAAAATAAAACAATCATGACAAAATAATATAGTTTACTTTCATATTCCCAGACCCTTTTAATTCTGGACTACTTATTCAAAGTACCAAACGTCTTTGATCCTTTAACCGAAAGCTAACACTCAAATTGCAGACCAAATCCAGAGGCCACTCTATTTTTTTCAGGTCTCAAATGTGGTCTAGAATTGGAGGGTAAATTTTTTAACTATCAAGATATGAATTTTATACTGTCTACTGTCTACTGTCATTTGTTTTTGAAGTCTATCAAAATTCTTTTAATGTACTCACCTAGTACATGAGCTAATAGAGGGATGCGATCAGCTCCCCAGAACGTCTTCACCTCCCCGTTGACGTGAGCCAATATCCATGGAGATCCAAATGCCTGAAATAGTGTGTGGTCACACAGAGACAATTTCTAATTATAGGAGCAATGTAGTAAACATTTTCTGAATGAAACTCAATTTAGTAATCACTTACGCCACTTTCTAGTGCAATGCCAGTTACCGTCTGCAACTTCTCTTTAACTGATGGATCTTTGACCTTTGACATGAAGTTTCTAGCAACATCCTCAGAAATACCAGAAGCTTTGGCTGCCTATAAGAACACAAAATTGAAAAAAATTAGCACTCCTACTCTAATAATCTAAATAAATTAACATAGTGAGTGTGTAAAATATAGTGGCAGTCTTATGACTTTAGGTTTTACACTTTTTAATTACATATTCAACAAGGTTGTTATTATTACCACTATTATTCCTTATTTCGGTAATAATGGTAAATTAACATAAGTATAAAATACATCAATAATACAATATGGTTTGATTTTACACAATTTACACAATAATAATTATCCAATGTTATAAGAAAAACAAACATGTTTGCTGCCCTCTATTGACTGTATACATTTTAGCAAAGATCTTATAAACACAAGATGGCGTTCTCCGCGATTTACGCATAACAAATAAAAGCGTCGATTTGGCACAGAAAAGTAATCACTTTTGGGAGAGGGTGTCCTTGCCATGGATCAGAGATAGGGTGTTCGTGTTATTCCAAAGTTCGTTACCAAGTACGTTAATTGTTCTAAAGAGAGGGCGCATTGTAAATTGGACGCTTCTAATTGTTATGTGTAAAACGTAAAGTCGCGCAGCGTATGCTATGGTCAAAGTAGTCAAAGTTGAAAAGTTTTCACTTTGCAAAAGGGTGCCGTACAATTCGTTATTACAGAATTTTCACGCGGAAATCGCAGAGAACATTATCTTATGTTTATAAGATATTTGATTTATTTTAGCTAAACTCTTATTAAACAAGGTAGCGCACTTTTCGATTTCTGCATGCAAATTCTGTAACAACGCAGTGCAGGATGCCCTTTTGCAAAAAGTTTCTTTTTACTGAACATTATGCTTCTATTTGTTATGCCCAAAACTGTGGAAAGTGCTATATTGTTATTTAAAGATCTTTGATTTTGGGTTGTGATAAAATTGATGGCAATTACAATTAGATATCTATTTAGTAAGAAGTTTGAGAAGACATTCAACAGAGGCTACTAATGACTAGGGGAGGCTTAACTACTTTATAATCAAATTAAAAATTGGTGATTGCAACCTCAAGCACACTCTCTGGTTCTGTAATGTCTTCACCCTGCAAAGAATATGAAAATTTTATTTGTATTAAATCTATGTCACTACAGTATTCATCACCAATCCTTACGATCATTATAATAATTTTTATATTCATCATAATATAATGATAACCATCATCATCTTTAACATCAGCACATCATAAACTCTGGTAAATCATCATCACTTTATAATTATCATCGCCATCTGAACAGCCATAATAAATAATACAAACGTAATGCCGTCACTAAGTCATCTGCGCATTTTCCTCGTTGTGTCGCGTCATCACGCAAATCAAAAGCTCCCTATTAACAACTCTTGAAAGTTTTTCATTGTAACCTTTGACCAGATTCTAAGCCACAACTGTCTTGATACTTCTTCCAAGTCCTCAGGTTGTTCCTCCTTCACTACTGTCAAAAACCGTTGTGCCGTCAACGATCCTATAACAAATAAGAGAAAGGCAATAAGTATAGAAACAATAAAAAAAAGAGTACTGTACTGTAAACATTAGAAGCAACACTAGGTATAAACACAATAATTTAATCCATTGCTTCTGTACACACTGATAAAAAAAATATGATAACTTATGTATACAAAATGCCATTCAAATCCAAAAAACATTCATACCGTAGCCAGGATTTTCAAACAGTGTGGAACAATATCAAATAATTTAAATTAAATTAAAATAATGTGGACCCATTTTCTTAAAACTAGTCCTATTTTACGCGAATGTATTAATATTCTGCACCCATTTTCTTAAAAATTGACCCATTTTTTTACATGAGAAATCTGGACCATTGTTTGTGGACTCTATAGAAAAACTGTGTGGGACTGTCCCAATAGCAGGCAAAGGCATTGATTCAAGGTAAATCAATGCAAACAGACTTGTCGTAAAATCATTTTAACGTAAACAGACTAAACGAAACTTGGTTAGAAACCAGCATTCTGGTGAGTCTACATAAAAATGTCAATCACTAAAGCTATGTACACTATATATAGTGTGTTATTATATATGATTTAATAATAACAATAATTGTCAACTTATGATTTGTCCATATATGGGAGCAATTACACTGCCTAATCACTTTTGGGTAGTGTGAAAAACTTTATAGTGGTGATAGAGCTTAACACTCACTTTGTTCAAAGAATGCCGGTGTGGATGTTGAGATTGGCACTCCGGTGTAATCCCGCATATTTCCCAAGTCCTGCATCATGTACATTGCTTTCATTGGATTCAGGCCCGGAGGCTTATTATCTTTAAGACAAAATCATAAGCAAGAATACTGATCAAAGATTCAATATATAAAAAAAAAACGCATTACTTGGTCTCTAGTGTATCACAATTAAATAATTTCTTCGTAACATCTGAAATTGGAGGTCTGACTAAGAGGTATAAGGACCATTTTTTTTAGAATGCCTGCTGAGTGTAAGATTAGTTAAGGCATAGTTGTTAAGGCCACACATAACTACTTGCCAGCATATCCACAACACCAAGGGGCTCAGACTGTAGGGTAATGCCTGTGTGGGAAATACATAATCCATGCAAATATTAGGCCTAAAAATCCATCCGCAGATTTAAAAAATAAGGGCCGATTTCTGTGCAGATTTTTACTAAAAATTTGGCTTTGATATTAATACTGTATTCTCAATGTGTAATGCAGCAGATATGATTCTGCGTACTTGTTTTCCGAGCAATTTCCAGCGCAAATTTGAGCTAGTTTTTGAGGTATCATCTGCACAATTGAAATACTTTACAGTATGGCAAGGGGGTAGATTGTATCAAGAGCATTTCATTTAAAAATGTATCTCAGAAAAGTTTTGTTGTTAGTTTTGTAAAATTTGCAAGAGTTTGTAAAATTATTACGGTATTAGCTGAATGCACAGTGGGAAAGCGAAGTGCGCTTGAATATGGAACGAGGAGATAAAATGTTATTTTGATTCATTTGGGCAAAAGTGTAATAATTTTAAGGATATATTTTTAGTGTAAACACAAAAAATACAAAGACTGTGTGCACGTTGAGAATGTATTGGTACTGTAGTCAATTCGGTAATCAAACATTTTTTCAGATGTGTTTTATATTTATAATTGAGGGCCCCTGAACACCAGCTGGAAGGGTCACCCTCTAAATAAATAAAGTTTGAATAAAGAAGTAAGGATGCATAAAAAAGTCACAAGTAAACACACCCAACTGAACTAAACATATTCCCATTTAAACACAACTTAGATAATGAAAACAGCACTTACCTGACCCATGCATTATGCCACCTAAGAAGAACGGCTTGTATTGCAAATCTATATTCCATTTCTTTCTGTACCTCCCTAATATCTACAAAGTTCAAAGATACACCATAAAAATATATTAAATACATGTAGGCCTATATAGTATAGGCCTAAAAATAGAACTCTGTCTGCAGAATTGGGAATATAAGGGCTGATATTCCACAATTCCGTAGCATGACCTAATTTGTGGGAGGTTCGTTTCAGTGGAAAGTGGACCCTTTGGAAACCATTATACAATAATGTAGTACTGTTAGTTGGGAAAGCTTAAGAAATGCCGACATGAAATACTTCTGGCTTGTATGATCTCCGATACTCTGAAGAACATTGTAAATATATCTACAAATATCAATTATTCGTTTTTAAATGCGGGCCTTTTCCAGTTTGTGGGGGGTTCGTCGTAACCCCCTTAATCCCCATCCCACCACGCTACGGGCCTGGTAGGCTAGGCCTTGGTCTACTCTCTCAATACCAATATATCAAGGCAGAAGCTTCTACGCATCTATTTTCCTTGCCATTTTCCGGGCCAAAAATTGAGTTGGTTTTCAAGATATCCTGCACAGAACTTCTATAGCTGCTTCTGCAAAAAATAGCAGGCCTAGCCTAGAGCCTAGAGTTGGCCTATTCCCCAGGGCAGGAGCTGAGTAATTTTTTCATAGATGTTTAATCATAATTAATAGACAATGTAATACAGTACATTATAGCTCAACCACCACTCCAGTACATCCTAAACCATACTGATAGGCCTAGCCAAGGCATTCTCCTATATAATTAATACTATAGGCCTAGGCTAGATAGTCCAGAGAGGGAGTTCTTCCGTTGTTCTCTCGCGCCGAGACCCTCTCTTGCTCGGCTAGCCCAACACGGCGCTTAGATAGGCCTCAAGTGAGAAGAAATCCTACGAAAACTAAATCGTAAGTGCAGCACAATAACTTTACTTCAAATGCAAGCCACGAATACGGCGATATAACGTCGTAAAACAACTCTATAGTCTTTTTAACAGGAGCACCCATTCGACACTATCGGTTGTATATAGACCTGTCAGTGTTGCTGTTTGTTGTGATCAAAGGGTTGTGATCTGGTTGTGATCATTTAAGACTGAAGAGGGCGACATATAAAAACAAAACTGCCATCGGGTGTGAGAGAGAGAGCGAGAGAGAGAGAGGTCAGGGTCGGGAAGAAAGAAGAGACTTTGTTTTCTGCCTAATAACAGTGTAACAAGTGATAGGGGAATATAACGGTAATACATTTCATAATTCAATTCGATTTTATTTCTTATTTATACAAATAGAAATATCAGTAGTGGTGACCACTGGGTCCTCTCTGGTCTTGGTAGTCACTGACTGTCTTTCTGTAATCACCATACTGCGACTGCTGAGGAATTAGCTTGTATTTTATTAATTAATCCAAGTTGTTGCGGCCCATGGCATTACTTTTGGCGCGTCAAAAATACACACACTGCCCCATAGTGACAGTGTGTAATGTGTTGATAGCCTAGGCCTACACACTTCACATGGACCCAGACCAACAAGATGACCCGGCCAAAACAACCCAAGCTAAATTGAATTAGGGCTAAGTAAGTAAATACGGAAGCAGGTAAACTCGGCCACAAGTCAACTCGGCCACAAATCAACTCGGCCACAAAAAGTTCGGCTGCAGTCAACTCGGCCACAAGTCAACTCGGCCACAAGTCAACTCGGCCACAAATCAACTCGGCCACAAAAAGTTCGGCTGCAGTCAACTCGGCCACAAGTCAACTCGGCCACAAGTTAACTCGGCCACAAGTCAACTCGGCCACATGTCAACTCGGCCACAAGCTATTTATAATTAAAATGAAATGTATCGTCGTGAGATTGTTGTATACATTTCTTCACACTGTACTCTTAATTCAACAGAGAAAACCACCACTTACAGAATGGAATAAAATCTGACAATTGTAACATTAACAATTTAAGCAATCTTAATAATTAAGAAAAACACATATATTAATTTTTGATTTTGTTCACGTTAAAACACCGACATAAAACATGAGATACTGTAGACCTAATCAAATGAATGCACGATGGCGTGCATTTCGATACTATTTTCTTCAGAACCACGCCCAAGAATTAGGCCTACGTTAAAATTAGGTGGGGTGCAGCATCT